ATTAAAGCCTCTCAACCAAAAAGATCAGTCCAGTCAAATATAGTATTTCAATCACACATTGATTATCTTATTTCTCGAAAACGACAAGCCAGGCGTGAATGGCAAAGACTTCGATCACCCACCTCAAAACAAAGATTAAATAAAGCTTCAAAAGATCTTAAAAAAGCACTATCTGATGACAAAAACCGCTCTTTACAAGAATATCTCGAGTCTCTTGGTCCACTTAAAGAAAACAACTATTCTCTGTGGAAGGCAACGAAGAAATTTAAAACGCCAATACAAAATGACCCACCGCTTAGAAAACCGGATGGTTCTTGGGCTCGCAACGACGAAGAAAAAGGTTGTATTTTAGCAGAACACCTAAAGGGTGTCTTTCAGCCAAACCCACAATTATCACATTTCCAACCTAACATCGAATCTCCTTCTATTGTTGAAACTCCCCTTACGTTGTGTTTGGATAACGTCAAGGAGACTATTCGAACATTTGCAAATCCCAAAAAGGCACCTGGATACGACAAAATTACGGGTAAAATGATACAACAATTGCCTGATTCAGCAATAACTTTTCTAACGGTGATATTTAACAGCATCCTCGCTTTTGGCTACTACCCGAAGCAATGGAAAGTTTCAGAAATAAAAATGATTCCAAAAGCAGGAAAGGACCTAACTTTGGCATCATCATATAGACCAATTAGTCTTTTGCCCCAGTTATCCAAAATATTTGAGAAAATGCTCCTGTCATATATTATGCCAATAATAACTCAAAACAATGTGATCCCAAACCATCAATTTGGATTTCGAACAGGACATGGCACTATTGAGCAAGTTCACAGAATTGCTAAAGAAATACATACTGCCTTTCAACACAAACAATACTGTTCCGCCGTTTTCTTGGACGTAGCCCAAGCTTTTGATAAGGTTTGGCACGAAGGTCTTATGTATAAAATAAAACGTTATCTTCCTGAAAATATGCATAAGCTATTGTATTCATATATATCTTCTAGAAAATTTACATTGAAATACAATACCTTTATTTCAAGAGAAATCGACATAATGGCCAATGTTCCTCAAGGAAGCGTATTGGGGCCGTTTCTGTACATAATCTATACAGCTGATCTCCCACTACTCTCAAATCACACACTTGCTACTTTCGCGGACGACACTGCAATTCTTAGTTCTAACAGTGACCACATAAGGGCGTCCCAAAGTCTCTCGACTCACTTAAGTCTATTGGAGAAGTGGCTAGCAAAATGGCGCATAAAAGTAAACGAAACGAAAAGTGTGCATGTCACGTTTACTCTGCGAAAAGAAACGTGCCCCCCTGTTAAGTTGAATAACATCATTATACCTCAGTCACATGATGTAAAATATCTTGGCATTCATCTTGATAGAAGGTTGACTTGGACTAAGCACATTGAAAGCAAAAAATCTCAAATTAAATTAAAATCACAGCAGCTCCATTGGCTTATTAATAAAAACTCTAAGCTAACTCTGGAAAATAAAGTCCTGGTATACAATTCAATCTTAAAACCAATCTGGTCCTATGGTATAGAACTCTGGAGTGCAGCATGTGCTTCTAATATCGAAAAAATACAGAGAGTTCAAAACAAATTACTTAGACAAATAACCGGTGCTCCTTGGTATCTCAAAAATGTACATATCCACAAAGATCTTGGAATCCCAACTATTGCAGACGTCATTACAACATGCGGCCAAAAATATAAAGTGAAACTTCACCAGCATAGTAATCCAATGGCGCAACAGCTACTTTCTGATACCACAATATCTAGACTTAAGCGAAAAAGCTTCGTACCACCTTAACGTAATTTTACTAAAAATGTTGATATAAATTTTGATAATAATAATCCATTTCATTTTATTATAAAGTTTAAACTCCTTTTTTGCACCTGCTAATTGCATTATGTTTAGTTTTTAAGATTTGATTACATAATTGTCAATTTCTTATCAGAAAGATACAATTAAAAATAAAATAAATAAAAAAAAAAAAAAATTTATTGTTGTAGAAAAATTAAAAACATAAATGTATTAACACATTAGAAACTTTAGATGTGTGCCTAATTAGTGTATATGTATAATAAACAACCAATTAAGTTGTCTATGTTATTTATAATTTAGTACTTTGAAATTAGTATTATAAAGTGATTAGAATATTGTTTTTTCCATAATATAATAATTATGAAAATGGAAAAATCCTGAAGCAAAGTTAATACTTTATACTTCGGTTGAGTGTTGATATTA